CCCCAGCCCCTCCCTGGCTCATCGTCGGTCCCAGGTGACCCCAGCCATTACCACAGCTCCATCAGAGAGGCAGAAAGAAGGAGACTGGGGAGGGGGGAAGCCTGTCCTGAGCCCTTCTGCAAGTGGATGGGCTTTACTCACTGGATGTGCTAAAAAAAAGCTCTTGGTTAAGCAGCTTTTTCCACCACAGATGCTGCTGTGAGTCAGACTGACCCTGTGGCCCATCAGCATCATTTCCCTGACCCGGAGCGGGGAGGAGAGCTCCCACATCTCTCCCATCTTCCTGTCAAGTATCATGCAGAGCGTTAAAACCCTGCAGAGCTGCCCGTGCCTCACTGTCACGCACAGCAGGCAGCTACAGGCAGGATTAAGGATTTGCCTAAGAACAGATGAAGGAAGGGTGAGCAACAGGTCATGGGGCTCTAAAGACTCTGGAGAATACCTCTAACCTTAGAAATAAATGTGTTTCTAGCACCAGTAATCTCCAACATAACCTTTGCTATTCACTGTATTTTTAATCCCATTGAAGGATTAAAAATTATCCTCCTCTTTGGGTTTTTTCATTTAAGTATTATGATTTTTCTCTGTTTGAGGCTTCAGAGCAAGCATTCCCAAACCACCTGTCACTGGCATGAGTGACTTCAAACCATACATAGATACAAGAACTTGTTTGGTTTTGGTTTGTTTTTTTTTTGTTTGTTTTTTTCTCAGACAAATTTATCCCTCTCAATTACTAAAAATTATTTAAAAGTGATACCACAGTGGTATTGTCACATCACATCACTCAGCACACCACTGTAAGGTTGAAAGCAAGTACCTTTTGGTCTTGGATGCAACGGCAAAGAAGATATATTAAGCACAGACCAGACAAAGACGCCAGGATGCCCAGACCAGTGTGAGTATCTGCTCAAAGCAGAGATAACACTAGTACCCCAGAATACTCTTGATTCATGCCCCCTGGAGACTCCTGAGTCACAAATCCAAAGATATTTGGAAAAAACACTTGATGTAGGTTGCTGGAAAGGGTGGAGAAGGGCGATGGGGGACAGCCGGTCACCGTGAGCTTTGCAGTGCTGGGACATTCTCAATGAGGACTAGGTGGGAAGGCAAAGCCCCTCTCTATTCTCCAGTCAGTGGATAACTGTTGAGACCATCTGGAGTCAAACCCCATCCCAGAAACTGTCGTGCACACCTCCTGTTAGCAAAGAGGCAGAACCCAGCTGGGTTTTCTGAAGAGTCAGTAAAGCTCATGAACAACCTGTGATTGGCTCAAATACACCCCGAGGATGTGGGGGTGCAGAGGGAGCCAGGGATCAGCTGGGGAAATACTGGTCTGGCTTCGTCTCTCACAGGCAGAGCAAACCCTCCCGTGTACCAGCACTGGGATCACTCTCCTGGGCTTCTTCTCCTTTGACAGTCCCACTGCTGTCAACAGATCAAATTCCGCTCTCTCCAATCCACTGGTCCTGCTAAAACCACGCAGGCAGTTAACTTACCTTTATCCTCCTCTCTCCTGTTAGGAACGTGAAGCAAGGCTGGGGATGTGCCCACGTCTGATAAAAAGTGAATGAGAAACGTAGGCAAACAGGATTTTCACTGCAGCAACACCTACGGTAGCTTTTTGGTGATGAAGTCCCCAGGACTCCCAGTAGATGCCAGACCCCCTCTGGAAGCAGAGGTCTGTTTAGTGATGACGAAAATGGAGAAGGTGAGCAGGTACATGGTCATATGAAGATGCTGGGGGGGCTGGAGCAGCTCCCCTGGGGGGCCGGGCTGAGAGAGTTGGGGGGGTTCAGCCTGGAGAAGAGAAGGCTCCGGGGAGCCCTTCGAGCGGCCTCCCAGGGCTTGAAGGGGGTACAGGGAAGGGGGGGAGGGACTTTTGATCAGGGGGTGGGGGTAGGATGAGGGGGAACGGTTTTAAACTGAAAGAGGGGAGATTTAGATGAGATCTAAGGCAGCAATTCCTCCCTGTTTGGGGGGTGAGGCGCTGGCCCAGGGTGCCCAGAGCAGCTGTGGGTGCCCCCTCCCTGGAAGGGTTCAAGGCCAGGTTGGACGGGGCTGGGAGCCCCCTGGGCTGGGGGAAGGGGGCCCTACCCGGGGCAGGGGGTGGCACTGGGGGGGTGTGGGGGGGTGGGGAAGGGGTTTAAGGGCCCTTCCCACCCAAATCATTCTGTGATTCTATGATAAGGTGCTAATGGCTGAATTCAGCAGCACAGCTTTGGGATTAAAGAAGGGGGGTTAGAAGAAAAGTAACCCGAGTGGTTGTTCAGATCGCATTATACAGAAATATTCATGCTCTGGCATGAAACTTAAATCTAGTTTCAAGATTCCCAGTTTCTTCCCTCGGGGACCAGCAGGTGAATCCCAGCATTTCGCCTCTCCAGGGAGCATCATCACATCCCACCCAGTCAAGTTCCCTCATAAGACATTGCCAAGGACATCAGAGTCTCCTCTGACCCGTCTTCTCCCTCTTTTAGGTGACCAGAGTTAAACTAGCATCTCCAGTCTTCACCTAGAAAAGGCCAACACCCATTCACCAAAATAACCACATACTTGGACCTAATTAGTAGGTGTTCAAAAGTAAAATTGGAGGTGGGCAGATGTCCCAACAGCTTGAAGCACCACCCTCAGTAACTGTGTAGTTGAAAGATTCAATCAGTGCCTTGTTTGTGGGGGTTATGCACACCCACAGCCCTCACAGACCTCCCCCCCATAACAGAAAGACCCACAGATATGCTGCTGAGCCTGGTGGGTAAGAGAGAAGTGGCTTTTTCACCTTATTTAGGAAGCCCCTATTTGTTATTCCGCAAAATCTTTCTTCACTCCTGCACTCTGATAATGATCAGGGATCCAAAGAGGATTTATTGCCTTTTTAGGACATTTCTAAGCAATAACCTTTGTCAAAGCACCATAACTACACTGGCTGCTGAATACACAGGTGGTGAATTATTTTCCATAATAATTCCCAAGCTGGGCAAGATTTGCAGCATGCAATGACTGAGCATGAATGACTCCTTCGAGCAGGACTCTCATGTTCTTTGCAAATCTTGTGTTTTGATTTTGATCTGGTGCCTTGTACTTGTAGAGCCCCAACTGTTATAAATGTTCTGAAAGAGCATAAAAGAGTCAGTTCCTCCTTCCCCCACTCTCCTAAAACCTGAATTCCAGGTTCTGCAGTTCTGCTGCTGGAATGCGATTACCACATGTAATGGTGGCGGCAGCAGCGTCTAAATGCAGCAAGCTTTGGGGCTGCATTGCTCTTCCTAGGATAAAAAAAAAAACCAAACAAATAAACAAAATGCTGGTCTGGGTCACCCCAAATTCAGAGGCTATAGACGGGGCGAAGGATAATTACTGATTGTCTGTGGATCCAGATGACCTAATAGCTTCAATCACAATTACAGAGTTCCCCTACAGTGGAAGAAAAGGTCTAAGCGACATTTATATGAGGAAATAAAGCTGTTGTTTGACTTTTAAAAAGCCAAGCAATGATGCCAATCTGAGGTACATGGGAGCCGAAGCTTGGGGGATTTCCACATACAAATAGCAGGGTGCTGCAACGTTTCTTTGTGGGTATTTCAAAAAATCACCACAAAACAAATATACACGGTGAGATCACGTTACTTGAGGCACAGCAGTAAACATGGACTCCTGCACCACTCTGTCTAGCAATATGAGAGTTACCTGGAACACACCCAGCAATACAGTGTGCTGAGCCCCATAAAGGAGGCACAGGACTGGGAGGTGACAAGCTCCTCACTACAACCAGCAGCAAGTCTCATTATTTACAAAATAGGGCACAGCACCCCACAAGAACTCAGGGTTTAATTCAAGCAGTATTTCCATTTCTATTCTTTTTTTCCATGTAGCTTCTCTCTTTGGGAAACCTCTGGTTCTTCCCTTTAATTTTTCCTTGCTTCAAGAGAGTCCTCTGCTTTCCCCATTATCCAGCCCTGCTCAGCCGGGCAATGGGGGACAAGCAGAGCTTGGGATGCCACTGTGCTGAGCCCTAACCGGGGCTGTGCAACACCCCTGACCCCCGCTCTCAGGCTACCTCCCGCACATTGAAAGCATCCCTTGCAAAAGGCTGTTTTGAAAATACTCCACGGCTACAAAGCAGACGTGAACACCCAAAACGCGCTACTGACACACGCGAGCTTTAGCTGGGCCCCTTCGAAAGCAGCACGTCAGTCCCTGAGTGATGATGTGGGGGTTACACAAACTTCCCCACGCAGGGGAAAAGCCCGAGACTGGTTACCAGAATAATCACCGCCTCTTCTGAGCAGCCACCTGCCCCAGGCCCTGCTGTCACTGTCACCAGGCTGCCATGCCACAAGCCTCTGATGCCGAGCCCCCCAAATCAACAGGGGTTAGGCTAAAACATACACAACCCCACCTTTAGGGTTTTTTTTTGATTGCTTGTCAGTAATCACTGAGGAGGTGGTTAGGAAAGGCATAGTTGTAGCAAAACATAGCTGGAACAAAGTTCTCAGACGTTTTTCTCCCCCAAATACTCCTCACCCCAAACTGGGAGGGCAGCCCCTGTACTATATCCTCACCCCACTGCAGCCAAACAGCTCCCTTTGTTTCCAATCACAAAATAAGCTTGTATATTGCTTTTATGAAAGGCCTTTAAAAACACTACTAAAAACCCTACGACTTTAAAAACACCCCACAAACACCACCCCACACCCCAAACTCCACCACCATTTTTCCCTCAGAAACTTAAAACCTCAAATCTTCCTGTCATTTAAAAAATTGTATGCATAGGGTTTCCTATAGAAAAGCACAAGTCACCTATACACCAGTAAACTAAATGCCCCATTAACTCTGGATACCCTGCTTAACCTGAAGAGGGCCACGTCCCACAGCACCAGCTCCAGCTGCCGGAGCCCTTCATTACACCCAACACCCGGGACTGCAACCCCCACAAAAACCACGGGGGGCCGGGTCGCATCCCCCCCCCCCACCCCGCACCCCCGGGGCCCCCGTGTCGGTACCCAAAAAGCGAGGCTCAGCAGCAGCAGCACGGTCTTGGAGGTGATCACGCCGCAGTCCATGCCGTGGGGCGAGGGAGCAAGGCTGGGACTAACGAGCGGGGACCGGCTTTTCGTCCCGCGTGGGGCCGCCCCCGGGACCGCCCTTTCTCTTCCCCCCACCCACGGTCACGACGATCAGTGTTTCCCCCAAGCAGGCGGTTGGGGAGCGCGGGGAACAAATGTCAAAGCAAATTATTGACTTCAGTGCAGCTTTTTGTTTTGTTTTGTTTTAGTTTTTTTGGTTGGTTGGTTGGTTGGTTTTGTTTTTGGTTTTTTTTTTTTTTTTTTTTTTTTTTTTAACTTCTGCAACGTTCTGTCTTTGTTAAACTGAGCTTTTGTAAAAAGCTCTCACCGCGGCTAAAAGGTTTCCATCAAATCTGTCTTCTTCCAGGATTGCTAGCCACCCACAGCTGCGTGTCTCCCTTCACTTCTCAACCTTTCTGTTCTGGTACTGTCTCATGCCCATCTTTTCAATCGCCCACACCATGAAAAGCAGGAGTACTGCCACGGTGTGGGTTTGGACACTCTACGTAAGTCCTAACCACTGAAATGTGAGGTTGAGCAGCCACAGGGAGAGGGATTTCAACCTGGTGGCTGCAGAGGGCATAAAAACATTGCTTTATTTCCATCAGCAGAGCCTCGTGCTTTTAAAAACAAGCCAGAGGTGTAGGGCTGGCAGCCAGGGGTTTGTTTTGCAACGCAGACCTGAACTGAACCCAACTCTGTGCAGGGCTGCAGGATGCAGCGATAACAACTTTCCTGTCTCTGCCCATTCCTAGGAAAAAAAAAAAAAAAAAGATGTGAGCCAGTTTCCTCCAGGGGATATGGATTTTGGAGAGGTTGTGCTGAAGTAGCTCTCCAGCAGGAAATTATGGAAAGGGAGACTACAGACAGTCTCTGCCCGCAGCCCATGAATTTAAGATGCAGCTGCTTTGAACGGCAGGAGGAAGGCCTGTGCCAGCTGCTGAAATCACAGAAATCCTCACAAAGAAAATGGGGTGAATCTGATCTCCAAAATTAAACGTCTTTAAGAGTAAAGATCGGTGCACAGTCAGACATTGATGGCTGCTGACAGAGCTCCTCCTGCCAGCGAGCCTGTCTTTGCCATGATAATTTCTATTGCAGCAATAAATATTAACAGGATGTATAATTGTGGAGTAGTTCTTCATTTTAAAAAAATCAGCATTTTCACTATTCCTTGCAGTGTGGCAGTCTGAGGTGTTACTAAAGAAAGGATATTGCCTGGAAACCATTTATCATCATAATTTTGTGGGAATGACTGGCAATCTGCAGGAAATACTTTGAATGAGAATGAAAGGGCAAATTCTGAAGTTTCATTTGGAATTAAATGTAAAGGAATAAAAAACTAGCCAACACCAATGAAACCACCTTGCCAACCAAACCCCGTCTTTCTTTAATATCAAAATATTTTTTCCATATTTGTTGCTTGCTAGTTCTTGATTGAAAAGTAAAATAAAGGTAGTTTCACAATGAGAATGAAAGTGTTCTTGATCAAAATGTTAGCAGATGTATGCTGTTTCCTTCAAAGCAAAATGTTATTAAAATCAACAATGGCTGATTTTGTATTAAAGTTGGCCTCAAAAGTAACTTGCCAGAACAAAGATGAGCCTGTGGAGACGTATCTCAACCATCACAGACAGCCCTGGTTATCATATTCCACACCATTCTCCACTAAATTAGTCTTAAAGTCAAGAGATTCCTGTTGAACATGGGATTTTAAAAAAGCAGGAAGTTGGAAATTTCACAGTTAACTTTGGAAAGGAGTGGGGAAAAAAATAAATTAAAAATATCTAACACGGTATCAGAAAGATAGCCTAAAAAGAAGCTCAGTTTCCAGAGCTGCGCTTTGTCTTGGGACCTTTTGTCCTGAATTAATTGAGTAGGTTTGTTTGGTTTAAGTCTGAATTTGGTTTAGGAAATACATTGGGAAAACAACATGTTTCCCACTGATTTATTTATTGCATATTTTGCAACATGTAAGCTCAGCGGTTTGCACTGGAAGCTGTACTGTTTGATAGGAAAAGGATCTTTACTTTTTCCATTATCCAACAGGTATCAACGAGGTAAAAACAAAAATCCCCTTCTGCACATCAGACCATGTATCTTAAAATAATCTCTTTTTAGTTTTCTTCCTGCTAGACTAAACAACTTTTCAGCTCTGGTATTTTCCAGAACTCATTCTCTCCCATTAATCCCCATTTTTCTTGAAGTGCCTAAAACCAGGGAGCATGTTCCCCAAGGAACATGCTGTGCCAAAGAGGATGCTGGAGCTCTGGCTTCCTCTGCGGCACCGTGGCATTGCTGACTCACTTCCAGCTTGTGATCATTTGCTGCTCCAGATCTATTTCTGCCAAAGCAACCACTTCCGAGTCATCTGTTCCCCATCCACTTCTCCCGATTATTCTTGCTGGGGTGGGCGACCCTACCCCTGTCCTTTCTGTACCACATCCGATTTTTCAGCCCTTTCCTCCAAATCCTCAAGACCATTTGGAAACTCTATCCCAGCCCTAGCCTTTGCCATCTCCATGTGCTCTGAATTTAAATTCAGATTTAACTTCTCTATCCTCTCCACCAGGTTATTACTGAAATTAAAGCCCACGAGAGGTGGGTACAGAAGCCCAGGTGACAGCAAAATGCAGGTGACTCTCCCCAGGCTGGGGATTGCCCCTGACAGGCAGTGTGGATGAAGCTCCTCTGGGGTGCGGGGAGCTGTTAAAAAGCCTTATCATATGATCTTTATTGCTTCTTTCCCCACAAGGCCTGCTACCCATCACAGAGGGAAATGAGATTAAAGTGAAACCATTTGTCCTTGGCAAATCTACATTAGCCAGTATTCATCTCCGTATTTTCTTCTTAGCTGCTTACGAATGATTTCCCAATTACTTATTCCATGGACTCTTTGATGTTGTTTTTGAGGAACTGAAGTTAATTGGCTTGTAATTTCCAAGCCCTTCCTTTTTTTTTTTTTTTTTTTTTTTTTTTTTTTTAAATGGAGCCCATATTCCCCCTTTCTCGGCCTACCAGCATCTCATCTCTCTCCCAAAAAACCCACTGCCAAGCAGCTCTGAGATGGCTGGAAACACTTTTTAAGCTATCTAGGATAAAGCCCATCACATAAAAGCTCATTTGAGAACCATCCGTTTATAAAACCTCATTGTAATCCATCCTCTCCTCATTGTCCTGTTGACTCTAACCCTTTGTCCCCACTTTCCACTGTGCCAGCTAATTGTGCTGGACATTTTGGTGACCAGTGGCGCAATGGGGACACAAAATCAGTCTCCTGTGGATGGCATGTGAGGATGATGCAGAAGCATCTCTGAGTACATGATCCTATTTCTCAGAACGGTTTGGATCTCTTGAAAAGTCTTATGTAAAAATAACAGGAAGGAAAGTTTATACTCAGCAGAGATAGCTTCTTAGCTAAAAACACCGAAATAATCTTTTATGGAGACCACAAAATTAGCAAAAAGTCAAGTTTGAAAAACTCAAATGCTTTCAGTTCCTCTTTAAATACTCCAGCTGGGTTACACACTCAGTTCTTGTCCCACTTGTGAAAAGATGTGTTTCCCAGCAACAAATATTCACATTTTCTCATTTTCATATTAGAGCAATTGTTTCCACATGGAGAAAGGCAAGGAGGACTCTACATGGCTCTCCATCCTGCGCCAGCAAACCCCACCATGGCAGCTGTATTCACCGGGGCATTCACGTTTGAGGGTTTGCAGTTCAGACCTTACCATGGCGCTCACCATAGAATTTGGATTTCTACCATACCTCAGTACTCTGCTGAGCAGATACTACAGATAATGCTGCACTGACCCTGAAGCTGTGCCTGCAGCAATTTCGAGCCTCAGACACTGCTCTGCTCCATCCACCCTGATTTTCTGGGAGGGGAATTTTGACCACACCACCGCTCTTACCCCTCTTGCTGACTGAGGACAGCCAGGTAGGATGTAGGCAATGGAACCCTGAAAGATGCCTGGTTAGCTCTTCTGTGATATTTCATTGTAGGTACAAGATATGACTGAAGCAACTCAAAGATGTTTTGGTCTCTGGATCCCAGTGGCAGCAGTGAAAAGTTGGCATCTGAAACCAGATAATACATGGACTGTGTTCAGCACAGGACTTAAACCAGTAGGTCTAGAGGGACAGGAACACTGGCAGCACTGGGTACTGGCAAGCCTGTGCAGGAGGACAGAGTTTTCCCAGTGAAACCTGGAGCATGTAGGGAGGAGAATGAGGAGAAGTTTGCTGAGCAGAGCACTGGCAGGTCAGCTCTTGGGGCAGGGATGTAGGGAAGGACCACAGGCAGCTTTTCAGAAGTGCAGTTTTAATGGCTGGATCCACCAAACTGTAAATCCACTGGCTGGGCAGCCCTAAAATACACGGACTGTGTTCATGAAAATCCCATGCTGGAATTATTCACCCCTCCTTCATGGCATGTTCCTTTTTTTGTGGTTACTCTTTACTCTTTCAAGGTTTAGAGAAAGAAAGGAGAAATTTTCTCACTCGCCCATGGGTGTGGAGAGAGGAGAGCAGCTGATCTTCTCTCCCACTCCCTTCCGTTCTGTGGGTCAGGGGTAAAAAAGAGCATTTATCTGATGGTGCCTGGCTCAGACGTGGTTGGGGAAGGACTCTGATCTTTCCACTTCCACATTTAAACCACAACGACCAAGCACGACCCGTGCACACAGCTGACACCACTAGCCAAGGCCAAACGTAGACCTGTCTCATCAGCTGCCTCCTTTCTTCACTCAGAAACTTCGCAGATTTCATTCAGCTCCTAATATTCGAACGCTGACCAGCTACTCCTGGGCTCCAACTCAAAATTTCTGAGCCCTCACATGAAGATCAGACTTGATTAAATGTTAAGAATTACCTCCAGATGGTGCACCAACACTAGAAGCTTGCATCTTGCTACCGTGCAATTCCACGGGGAGATCCACAGCCGCAACAGAACACGCACATTACTGTAGATAACCCCGAAGAATGCTGATAGTCAGCTCTGCTTCCAGCTGCATGATGAAACATCTGCAGGACTCCTGGGCTGCAGTACTTA